TACCCCACACATCTATGAACACCTGATTTTTGACAAACAATCCAAATTTATACGATGGAACAAAGAGAACATCTTCAACAAATGATGCTGGCATAACTGGGTGCAGACAGGTAGAAGACTGCAGTTAGACCCAAGCCTATCGCCTTGCACAAAACTTAAGTCAAAATGGATCAAAGATCTCAACATATATCCAGCTACACTGAACCTATTAGAAGACAAAGTGGGAAAATACCTTTGAATTAATTGGTACAGGAGGCTGCTTCTTGAACATTACACCAGTAGCACAGACACTGAGGTCAACAATTGATAAATGAAACTGAAACTGAGAAGCTTCTGTAAGGCAAAGGAGACAGTTAGCAAGACAAAATGGCAGCCCACAGACTGGGAAAAGATATTCACCAACCCCACATCTGACAGAGGGCTGATCTCCAAAATACACAAAGAACTCAAGAAGCTAGTCCCCCAAATACCAAACAACCCAATTAAAAAATGGGGTACAGAACTAAATAGACAATTCTCAATAGAGGAATCTAAAATGGCTGAAAGACACATGAGAAAATGTTCAACATCCTTGATCATCAGGGAAATGCAAATCAAAACAACTTTGAGATACCATCTTACTCCTGTCAGAATAGCTAAAATCAAAAATACCAATGACAGTTTATGCTGGAGAGGATGCAGAGAAAGAGGAACACTCCTCCACTGCTGGTGTGAGTGCCAACTTGTACAGCCACTGTGGAAATCAGTATGGTGACTCCTCAAGAAAATGGGAATGAAAGTATATAAATTTACTAAAAGTGAGAGGGGCAGATGAATTAGAGCAGGCCTAAGCAAAGAGTTGACTCAAGAGCGTCAAGTTCACTGCAGGGGTTTGAGTCGAGGCAGAGGGAGGAGCTGCTCCCAAGGGCAGGGATAGAGTGGATCTTATCCCTGTTAATATAACTTTGGAAGCTCTGCCTAACCAATCAAAGGGGGTTTGTTCCTGGCTCAGAGATCACTTCAAGGATAGATCCCCCTTCCTTTGTCCTTGGTTCAGTAGTGGTTTGAATAGACCATGCTTATCTTTTCTTCTACCAGGAAGTGTCTCACCACAATTATCCACAGGAGAAAAGGTACTGGGTGACGCCCTACATGAAGGGGTAGACAACCATGCCCCAAAGGTAGTTGCCTTAGTTCACTGGGTTGTCCCTAAACTCATCTACTTCAACATCCTTTAGATAATTCTCTCTTCTCCATTCTTTAGAGACTAATTAAATGATCAGATGAAGCTGTGTTCAAAGATTACCAATGGGATGGGCATATGACCCTGTGAATCTAAATTGTAAATGGTGGATACAAGGACAAATGACCCAAGTATTGATGATCTGATGAGATATTTCAATAGCACTTGTGTCAGAGGCTACCTTTTTCCTGGCCAAACCTAGCTTTTAAGTTTTGTCTTCAATTTCAAGGGCTTCAAAATTCTGTGCATTTTCAGTTCTTTTTTTTAATTGATGGGAGTTAATTTCTTTGCATCCAGGGAAGTGCCATGAAAGGAGAATACAGAGCCAGGTGTGGTGGTAACAGCTACAATCCCAGAACTTATGAAGCTGAGACAGGATGATGAATTGGAGGCCAGCCTGGGCTACATGGTGAGACCCTAACTTAAAAACTCAAACAAACCAAATGAAGACAAAACAAAACAGAGCACAAATGGCTCATAAAACACTTCTTTAGTACAGAGATAGTGATGTCAATGATGGCTACAGTTATCGACAGCTTAGCATTTACCTGCTGCTATGAGATTGTGTGGTATGTATGTGGTGTGTGGGGTGTATGTGTGTGTGTGTGTGTGTGTGTGTGTGTGTGTGTGTGTGTGTGTGTCCTGGAATTCATTTAATTGTTACAGTACTATTATCTGGGAAGTACTGTCATTCTATCTTATAGGTTGGAAAGCAGGTTCTAAAAGTGTAGATCACTACACAAAGGCTCACACTAGTAAGTCAAAGTAATGAAATTTAAATATAGGCTTCTGTTATTCTAAAGCTTGTGTTTTGTTTTGTTTTGAACTACTTGGGCCACATCATATCTGGATAATGATAGCTAACAGATAATAGACTTTAAACAAGAATAAATCCATGGCTTTTTATTTTGACAGATATGAATTATCTGAAAAAGCACATTGGAAATGAATATTGGCCAGCCTGCCACATGTTTAATTAAGAAATAAATGCCTTACAACAATGAATAGGCACTTTATCATTGACATCTACAATTAAAATGCAAAGTACAATTTTTTCAAAGTGTAAACACAGCTTATTTATCATTTTTTGACAACATTGTTCACTTTCTGTAAGCCTGGTTAACCTCCTAAGATTGGTTACCAGTGATGTAATCACAGAAAGATGGCCCTTGTTTCATAAAATTGGCACCTTCAAATGGAAATAACCACTTAACTCCAGTGGGGAAAGCGGAACAGAAAAACATCAAGTGAGTCAGGAAGACAGCAGGAAGACAGTAAGGGTTCACCAAGTAAAAGTATTTGAAGACACAGTCACAGAATTTAGTCCTGTAAACTCAGGCCCAGGCCAACTAAGTCAGGACTAAATAAATGTAACCAAAGCCCACATGCCCTAAGTCCTCCCAACTCACCTCCAGGACTCCATCAGAATCTGAGGACAGGCTGGCTTCATGCTTGGACACCACAACAGCAAGGCTGCTTAAGGCCAACAGTGCATTCCCTTTGACCATGGGGCTCTCCCTGTGTTAACAAAAGATTCCAAGAGAGGTTATAGAAAATCAAGAGAGAATGCATTATCATGGGAGAGCAGGCAAGGTGGCAAAGCGCCCCCACTGCAGCACAACACTGGTAAAAACAAGAAAGAGAATGCAGGCATGGGGGACTGGAGAGATCCTCAGTGCCTAGACTACTTGTTCTTGCAGAGTGTAGTTCCCAGAGTGACATTTCACAACCATCAATAACTCCAGTTCCAGGAAACCAACACTCTTCTAAACTCTATGGGCCCCAGGCATACACATAATACACATACATTTGCAGACAAAACACTGGTACATAGAAAACAAAAACAATTAGCCAGGTGTGGCAGTACACACCTTTAATGCCACACTCAGGAGCAGAGGCAGGCAGATCTCGGTGAGTTCAAGGCCATCATAGTCTACATAGTAAGTTCCAGGACAGCCAGGGATACCTGATGATCCCTGTCTTGAAAATAAAACAAAACAAAATAAAAAGATATAAATCCTTTAAAAAGTATGGGTCTGTTTATCCCCAGATACCAGTATCATCTGTGCTGACACCAGCGCTGATTTTTAACTCTTAACATTATGGTCATTGTGACCCTGTACAATGCAAGTTCTTATTTCTAAGTTTTAGTCCTAAACATCTTATTTCATTCTCTGACACAGCATTTCCCAAGCTATATTTTTCCATGCCATTTTTAGTCAATTTAGATTTATTGATTTATGCCCCAAACATAATTAAACACCTAGCAAAGTGTAATGGCCTCTTCTGAAGCAGCAATGTGTGGAACCAGCTTCCCCTAAATCAGGTCACAAGTATCCTTTACTTCCACATACCATGTGGCAGTTTTTGGCAGTCATGACTCCCTTTCTCCCTTACCCCACCACATCAAAGCCAGAAGCCTTAGGGCACTTTGTAATATGACTTGATGATTCCAGAAAAGATAGGAGGATGGGGGGCGGAATTGTTTTTAGACCACCTGGTTTGATACTGTTATATAATTCAAATGATAGTTTTCTAATATTAACAATAAAAACTTTTTTTTAACTTCATAAACTTGGCACCATAAAAATTACCTAGTTTTCATATATACTTAGCATGTAAAAAATGTACACTTAGTATTATTCCATACCTCCAGGCTAATCCTATTGAAGAAAGCTCTGAATGAGACAATGAGAAGTTGCTCTCTGCAGCAAAACTTTCCCATCTCAAGATGCTACTCTGCAACATATAAGTGCATCCTGTAATGTCCTACAGAGAGTGTTCCCGGAGTCCTGAACAGAGCCAGCACCTGAGTTCACTGCATGCATTCACTGTATGCAGTATAGGGTTAGAGCAGACCCAGAGGATGAAACTGACTTTCACACCAGCTCCCTATACGAGCCTAGTACCTACCTCCAGATCAGTCCACACACAGCTGAATAGGTGCTAGGAACGGTTCCTGGGAACATATGTTCTTGTATGTTTATGACTATTTTATAGGAATCAAGTCTTTTCATTTACCTAACCCTTTCTGCTTCTCACCCTCCTACCCTGAGCAAAAGCAGGTCAGCTCAGTGAAGCCCTGCCCTGGAACTTGCTCATGTTGTTCACCCCTCTTCAGTTCAGTCTTTGGTGAGGTCTGCCTTGAGTCAGTAAGGCATCAACATTCATACTGAGGACTGGGATGAAAAAATTGGAAGGACTCCTGGAGGTCTAAACCAATGACTCCTCCTGAGGCTGTGGAAACATTAGTCTCTAAGGATGGATTGTGGTGGCAAGGGAGAGAAGAAAGAGGAGGAGGGTGACTAAGGAAGAGAAAGGAGTGGTTTAAAATTCTCAGTAATCTGAAAATTAAAGCTTTAGTCTTCTCACCACACAGAAAACAGTTAAATGGCTCCCCAAAATTACATATCAAATTTCATTAAACAGGTATCTTACATAAAAGTATCTTTCTCACACTCAATACAAAACTCATTACAAATCTTTTTAGAGATTTATTTTGATTTTTAAACATGTGGATATATATGCATGTCTATGGGAATGTATGATATGTGTGTGTTGATGCCATCATGCCATCAGAGCCCAGAAGCGGAAATCAGATCCCCTAGGGCTGCAGTTATAGGAGTGAGCTGCCTGGCATGGGTGTTGAAATCCAAACTTGGGTTCTCTGCTATAGCAGCCAGTGTTCTTAACCACTCTGCAATCTCTCTAGCTCTGGCCTAAGCTTTCAAACAGTACTCCAAATCATTTTATTTCACTCACCTAGCCACACCTGAGTATGTATTGTGGAATAGAGAATGAAAATACATTTAAGGCCACTGGTAATTAGGTCTTTGGATGTAGGGTGAATTTTATCTAGACACTAATTTCCAGATAGAACAAAATTGCTTCAGTCTATGCAAAGCATCCATAGTTCAAGTTCACAGTTGGAGAAGGTACCAGGACTGGAGAACTTGCTTATCTCAAACCTGCTAAATACCCAGCACATTGTCTTGTGGGTTACAATGCACACTACATACTTAGTAAAACATATTCAAGGAAGAGCTGCTGGTGAAAACTCTACAACTGGAGCAGCACAAACTCACTGCCTTGTTACTAGAATAACTATCCCCTACCAGTCAAACAGCTGTGACTAATTTGCATAATAACATGTCAGCATCAGTTCAGTCTTTATCTAAGCAATACCACTGACATTTTAATTAAATTGTCCTTTGGAACAAACTGATGTCATTAACCTAATTAAAAAGCCCAAGGAAGGATGAGCTTCAGTGATGCTTTCTGAGGGACAAAGTATTGCATTACATATCAGCAAAGTGACCCAATCATTTGGGGATTTTTGTCTTCGAGTTCAAATCCATTTAATTAATAACAATGAAAACAAACTGCCATCAGTCATCCGTCTTATCCATGTTCTCGTTCTCCCTTAGTTATAACCCTGATTCTCAAAACTACTCTCTCAAATGAGCAAATCAGTAACTCTGTGACTGTAGGCTACTTTCTGCATTTAACTTAAAAGTGAACAAAACAAGCCCTGGCCTCAGGCAGTTGTGGCAGCGACCATCCAAGCACCCCAAGATAAGCTGTCAAAGGGTAGGAGTGAGGTCTCTGCCTGGTGAAGGAAGCAACTGGAAAGATGCAGAGAGAAAGTGGTAGCCATTTTCTCCTGTTCTATCACTGTCATTCAGCCTCTGGACCTTAAATAATGTCCTAGTCACTTCCTACTACAGTTATCACTATCCCAATTGTTTTATTGAGATAAAACTGAAGAAGAAAAATTACAGTAAAGTTTTTGATAAGAAAGGTAGCAATCCCATAAGAATACAAATTGTTTCATTGTGTACCCCTGAAAATGTGAACACATTGACCTTGGATACTAGCAATAACATGTTGCTTCAAAAATCTATAGAGAAAAATCATGTTGAAATAAGATTTAAGAACAGGAGTTTAAAGGTGACTTCAGACCTTCAGATTCAGAGGTAATATTATAGTTTGTCTGAGCATAAACCTGCTTGTTTCTTCATCATCCAAGCTTTCTGCTCCAAATGTCCTGCTTCTAACAGGACATAACAACAACACTACATAACATGAGCTATGAAAGGAACATTCCAAGCTTGTCCACCTTCACCTGTGCGGCAGAGCATTGCTTTCCTAAGGTATCCTTTCTGCACTGGGGTCTCTTTTTTGCCAACAGCCATTTCCCCATTGCATCCCAGAAGTGGGGATGGGAGACCACCAGTTCTCTTCTCCTTTATTCAGTGTGGGGGGGGGCACGAAGGGATGAGTAATGAGCATTGCTGAGATCGACTTCACAATTATGTGGCGGTTCCTGTTTTCCCTAATGCCCAATCTTTTTAGCTACACACAGTCCCAGGATATGACTAAGATACATGATATTGCACGTAAATACTTCCATAGGACATGAACTTCCATGCATATAGAATCCTAGGGCAGGAGTGTGCCTATGTCATTTGGAAACTAAGAAGAAAGCAAGGCAACCAGACACAGCAGCAGAAAGAAGGTGATGGTGGAAGGGAGATATGAAGGCAACTGTGTCTCTGCTGCCAGGAACAATTAGTCAGCTTGTTAGCAGAGAGGCCTGAAGAGATGACTCCAGCAAGTAAGTTCATTAGGGTGTAATTTCCTTAGTGAGCTTTGGTTTAAGGTAAATAAAAAGCCTCAGGGCAGCAAAACTCAAGTAATTTTTGTTAAAACCACCACTAGGCTATGACTGACATCGGCCTTTTACTTTTTGTATTAGTGTTGTATATATAAAATTCATTTTTAAAGTTTGTCATAGAGCTGATGAGATTTATCCAAGGTCATATTAATTGCTAATTAGAATCCAATTTAGACACACTGGACCCCATAGCAACCAGGAAGTGTAAGAGGAGGGCCCATTTTATTTGCTGCATTGCAAGTGAGATTTAATAATCCATTTGTAGACCCAATGTAACTCACATTCCCCAGAATTCATTTTTCCTCCTTGAACTAAATTATAATCCTTTAAATTTAAGACAAACCACATAGCATTCTGTCAGGTATTCATGTTGAGTATCTCTCAATTTAAAAGCTATGTATTTGCACCAGTCCCTCTATGTGTACAAAAAGTCATGCAGTGAGAATTAATATAGTTAACAGGAATAACAATGGCTTTCTATAAAAATTATTTTATAATTCTTAATATTATGAAATTCCTGGAAAGGAGAAAGTGTATGTACCCATCCAGGAATGAAAGGTTTAGTAGTATTTTAGGTAGACGAATAAGTGACTTACTTTGCAGCTGTCTTAGTGATCTCATCAGTCAGCATGTCTCTGACCCTGCAATAAAGATGGAAAATAGACCTCAGTTTATGTGACACCAAGGACTGTACCTATTATCTTATTCATCAGTTTATAAGAACGTACAGGAGACCAGTCATATGACTCAGCAGGCAAAGGCACCTGAGAACCTAAGTTTGATCACTGGGAAGCGCATGGTATAAGGGAAAAGATCAAATTCCCACAAATTTCCCCAAACTTCCATTTGCACACTGTGGCACATGCATGCCTATATACTCTGACACACAAATAAATAATGAATGTAAGAAAATAATTTTAAAACTTACAGCAATGCCTCTGGGTCTCAAAAGTAAAAGTATAGAGCTAGCTTTGGAAAAGGACTTTTTTTTTTTTTTTTTTTTTTTTTCAGAGCCTGCTTTATTTTTCTGTTGGCAGGATCACTTAGTGAATACAGGTAAGGAGAAAATGTAACCAAGGACAGACTGGCAGTGTTGTGTCATACCATCCCAGTGGAGTAGTGGGTACACAGTTGACCTTTGTTTTACTATTCTATGGACTAGATGTTGCCTTCTCCTAAACCTATGATGAATACACCCAATCTCACAATAATTGAAGGTAGAGCCTTCAAGATAGGCTTAGGACTCTCACAGCAGTAATTAGAGATAAAACCTTCACAGATGGGCTTAGTGTGTATTAACAGGCATGCATGGTCACATCAGAGTTCCCCCTGGCCCTATTCTCTCTGCGGCATCACCAGTTTCCTCTTCTTGTATCATTGTCCTTAGTAAGTGAAGACATTGTAATATCTATGCTCTTAGGAGAAGAAAAGGTCCTCTAGTTGCTACTTACACTACCACCATGCTTTTGAAACAAAACTTCTTAAAAATAGAATTAACTGTGTCTGATTCAAGTTCATTTCCTTCCACTTCAAGGCCATCACTAGTTTGGCTTTTATACCATAATTCCACCCAAACAGCTGCCTTCATAGTCACAGAAGACTTTCAAGAGGCTAGAATGAATGCTCGTTCTCAATCTTCATCTTCAGCACTCGACACAAGGCTGGTCCCCTTCTTGGATCACTTTCTCTCCTTGGCTCTAGAGAAGCAACACCTTCTTGCTCCTCTTCTATTACTAAGTGCTAGTTTTCTGCCTAGTTAATTGTTGTCTCTGCGTCTGCCCCTCCATGAAATGCTGAAGTAGGGCTTCAGCCCTCTGAAATTTCACAAATTTCTTAGATTCACTCAGCATCATGATTTTGACTGTCACCAATATGCTAATTATTCCCAAAATGATACTTCTAATCCTCATGTCTCCTTTGAACTCTAGACTCGACAACCTACTTAGTATCTCTAGTTGGAGTCCTTATTGGTATCTCATATCTTTCAGATATAGAATCTGATAAAACTGTCTGTCTCAACTGCTATTTTCTTCACTTAGTAGATGCTCCATTCTTTCAGTCAGTGTTTTACTCTTGTTGTCCATTTTTCATATCTTCCATTTAAAGCAGTGACTAAACCTGTGAACTTGCCTTCAAAGCAGTTTGAAAATTTACTTTTCATTCTTCTCTTGCTAGTACCTCAGCCCAAGACTCTACCATCTCTGCCTGAATTATTGCAGTAGAATCCTAATTATTTTTCATAGAAATCTTCCTTCACCATAATATTTAGAGTACTCCTTCCAAATCAGGAAGCAGATGCCCAGATTAAAATCCACTGATGTTACCCCTCTCACAGAGACCTCTTTATCTTCAGAACTCTATGTCACACCCTAGTCCCTTTCTTGTTCCCTCCATGTCACACTGGATTCACGTTCGAGGCATGTTCCTTTGCATTCACTATCCCTTGCAGGGTTTTTCCCTTGTCTCAGATTGACTCACTCCATCACTTCAGGTCTCATCTCAAGGTCATATTATTACAGAGGCACACCAGAACTACCTATGGAAGAGAGTAACCCCTCAACTCCTCAGCCAATTCACTTTCTACTACCTTTGCCCTAAGGAAAATCTGTCCTATTCCATTTGTTTGTTTGCTTATTATCTGTTTCTATTCAATATTTTATAAGGTTTGGGAGAATAAGGAAATGCTGTTCTCCTACACTCAGGATAATACTTGGCACACAGCAGATGAGAAATACATTTGAAGTAATAAAGAAATGTCTTTTTTTTTTTTTTTTGGATTGGGCCTGGGTTCAAAAAAAGTTGCTCAAGAGTTCATTTCAAAATAGCCCATCAGTTATTTATCAGTTGTATAGCAAAGTCGTTAGGTCTACACTACGACACTATACTAAAGAAACATCCAGGGTCATTTCTCCCTGATACTCACATCCATATAGTTTGTGAGCTTCATCAGAGGCTTATGTCTACAGGTCTATATCTTTGAGCATACAGTAAATATACTAATCCTGTCAAATTATCAATTCTAGAAGACAAATCAAAACAGCAAGTGGGGGGACTGGAGAGATGGCTTAGTTGCTAAGAGCACTGGATGCTCTTCCAGTAAACCTGGGTTCAATTCCCAGCACTCACATGGCAGATGATAGCCATTTATAACTCCAGTTCTAAGAGATCTGATGTCCTGTTCTGGCCTCTGTGGATACTATACACACATGATGTACAGATCGACATGAAAGCAAAATACTTGTGTGTGTGTGTGTGTGTGTGTGTGTGTGTGTGTGTGTGTGTGTGTGTGTGTGTACTTAAAACAAAACAAAAAACAAATAGAAAGTGAAACTGAAATTCTGAATTCCTAATGCTAAATCCATTGCCTTTAAAAAAAATCTATAAAATGAAACAGAACAGAATTAAATGACTAAAGATTTTATTTTCTACAACCAAGTAACTTTTGTCCAGAATAAAGCAACCTGTGGGTATAGACAAAGCTATTTAGGTTCCTGGCACTTTGTTTAAATTTAGGTTGCTCTGTCAATTAATATGACCAACTATTCTTCTCAAACTACATAAAAATTTATATTGCTCTTAATGTGCTAGCATTTATACATTTCCTGGTAATACAGTAATAATACAGTAAGGAGCATCTGCTGGGGAAACTGAATGTCTGAGATAGAAAGATTGTTATAATCATGAAGATGTCTTAGCAAAAAGAAGAGAAGAGGAGTTACCCTATACTACATATGAGGTGGAATGGTAATGAATTGAGTGGGGAAAATAGAATTTTTATTCAAAAGGAATAAAACAATCAGTTATAAGAAACAACGTTGAGGGGACAAAACCATTCCTACACTGCATTAGAAAAATAATGTATAGACATACTCAGTTAGCCCTCTGTTATGTCTGGAATGTACCTGTGTAGACTCTTGTTACTTTCCCTAAAGAATACAGAAGAAAGGCAGTCACAGAATATACACTGTAGAAGTTACTAAAGTAATCTAGAGGTGATTTATATGTAGGAGGATGTGCATAGGTTACATGTAAATACTATGCTGTGTGTATGAGACATGAGATTCGGTAGGTTTTGCTCCTGCAGGGGATACTGGTACAAATTCTTCACAGATTCTTGATGACTGGGACTGCCACCTCCTCTCCCTACACCCAGCACACACATATGTATTCATATTTCTGAAAGCAGTATCCTTATCATATCTAGTCATATCTAGGGAGTAGGTGAAAACAGACCTATCATGTCTTCTGAATTACCTTTGGATCATACAGAAGGAAATGCACCTAGCTTGGAAGCATTTAAGGAATTTGAGGTTCCCTTCATTGCTCATGTCCTATGACAACAGTATGTAGCAGAATGTCATCCCCTTACCAAAGCCAGGCTGTGCTTCGTTTGTACTGCACCTCCTCGGGTCCTTCTTTGCCATGCTGTAACTGCAGATCCAGCTCTGCTATCCTTCCCTGCAAACCACACAAGAGGAATCAACATGCAGGCCTGTTGGTTGAAAATTCCTTTGGCCAACTGGACACAAGTGGTCTTGGTGGCATATTAGACCTTGAAAGTAGGGGAAGCAGTCAGTGAATTTCACTAGTGGCAAGTCCTAAAGAGGTTGTAGGCTTGCTCAATTCAGTGTTTCATTACAGGATACCTTTCAAAGCAGATCCAATTCTCACAGTCCCATTTTAAAAGTCTCCTGCATAGCAATGGGTAGCAATTCATAATTTTAGTTATACTCAAAGACTGAGGTCTGAACACTACTGCCACAACAGAACAACAGAAAATGAATTAGATAAGAATATAAGATGTAGGTACTATGTAAAAAAATGTAATCACCAGTGTTGCATTTCTACTTATTGAATGAACTTGTAAAAATATTACAAAGTTCTTAACTTCAGCCATGTAATAAAAATATAGTTAAAATTGTTCCTTTAAGACCACACCTTCAAATATTAAATTTTTTAGTTTTTACTATATTACTGTAATCAGTTGTTTCCATTTTAATCCATTGTCAATGATGTTATTTAATATAATTAAAATAGTAGTTTTCTAATGCCTTCTAACTTAAGCAAGACCTCAGATTTTATTAAGATTATAGAGTAATGCTTAACTATTTTGAGAAGGTTTTTGGGCTGGAGAGATGGCTTAGAACACTGATTGTTCTTCTAGAGGACCCAGATTTGATTCTCAGCACCTACATAGCAGCTCGTAAGAATCTGTAATTCCAATTCCAGGGAGATCTGGTGCCTTTTTCTGGCCTATGTGGGGACTGCATGCAAGGAGTACACACAATGTGTAGGCAAAACCCCATACACATAACATACTAAAACAAAAAAATTAGTGAAAAACAATGAAATCAACTGATGGCGAAAATTCTTACCAGCAGTTTATTCTGGCTATTTCATATCATCATAAATATCTGGAATTGTCAATAGACCTTCACCATTCTTGAGATACCCACCATGGTTTTAATTGATTTCACTGTTTACTAATGAGGTTGACTATCCTTTCAAGTGTCTACTAACTCTGGATTTCCTGTTATGTACCAATTTTTTAAATTAAAATTATATTCATGTGTATGTTTATCTGTGTGAATGTTATGTGTGTGCAGGTGCCCACAAAGGTCAGAAGAGAGCATCATATTCCCTGGAGCTGCAATGACCAGCCAATTAGAACACTTAGTAGTCTTACTGACTACTTAGTATCTATGGTGCTTTGAATGATAACACCCCCAATAGCCAATTAGAATACTCCCTGGCAAGACAGTCTGGGAACAGTCAATCAGCCACTTGACATGGCTGCTGGGAATCAAACTCTGTGACATATTTGCATCTCTCTCTGTGTGTGTGTGTGTGTGTGTGTGTGTGTGTGTGTGTGTGTTTTGATGCTATACACTCCCATTGCCATCTATTATCCCCACTCTTACTGAACCCCTTCTTCCTCAACAAGTTCCTCACCTACTTTCATGCCTTCTTCTGTGTCTGTAGTGATACACTATTTACGATTTATTAAAACTTGAGTGAGGATTCAGAAAAGTTAACTTCAAGCTATAGAGATCAGGCAGTAGTGATGCACACCTTTAATACCCACATTAGGGAAGTATATAAGATAGGAGCAAGGTCTCAGAGAGGCATTCAGTCTCTAGTCATGCTGAGGAGAGGTTATAGTCTGAGGCTTGGTGAGAGCTTGTGGAGACAGGATCAGCCTATTCAGCCTGAGGTAGAGGTAAGAGCTAGTGGCCAGCTGCTTTGCTTTTCTGATATTCAGCTTGAAGTTTGAAACCCAATACCAGTGTCTGGGTCTTTTATTTTTGGGGGTTACATGTGTCTGTATCTCCCACAGAGTTCCGGTGGGTAGGACATGGGTAACTAAGCAGTGGCTACACCATTGGTTGTCTCTTTCTTATTGACAACTTCGTGTCTGTGGTGCCTTGAATGAGAATGCCCCCACCAATAGGCTCATACATTTGGATGTTTGGTTCCAAGTTGGTAGAACTATTTGGGAAGGACTGGAATATATGGCCTTGCTGGAGAAGCTGTGTTGCCGAGGGTGGGTTTTGAGGTTTTAAAATTTTCTTTTATAAGTTGCTTTGGTCATGGTGTTTTGTTACAGCAACAGAAAAGTAACTAAAGACAGGGTCCTAAGTATTCTCTTACAAGAACGAGATTGTCAAACTAAAAGATGTTAATGTTTAACCTTTATACTGGCCTCCTAGAAAGGCAGGAAATGTAAAATAATTTTCACAGCCCAATTCCTTGTTTTTTAAAAAAATCCAACAAATAGGAAATAATAAAGTTAAAACTTCCTTGGAAGTAAATAAAGCAGTTTCCTTCTTGAGAATCCTGTACAGCCATCCCATTGTGGAGCAGGAAAGGGTTCTTGCCTTCTTTCTCAGAGCTTCTCTTCCTTTCTACCCCTCTCTGTAAACCCCGCAAAACCTAGCACCCAAACTCATCCACTTTTCCAGATCCACTTTGCTTTCTAGTCCTTTGCATCTTTGTAACAGACAGACCCAGCAGCACTCATCAGGTGTCTCACCTTTGGTTAAGGCAGGAAAACTAGGGAAGAACAGGATGAAATGATCACCTGAACTGAGGCTTTTAGGTCCTCTATAGATTCCAATTAGGAATCCATCCATCCCTCTTAATTTTAATCTGTAGTCTATAAAAGAAGAGCCTGATGATGTAATAAACAATTCTACCCAGTTTACTTTAAAAAGAAGGAACAGAGGCCAGATATATAGCTCAGTGACAGCATACTTAACATATACATGGCCCTGGGTCCTATCTCCCACACCAAAAATATACACAAAAGAACAAAAATCTAAAAAGAAAAATTTTCAACCAGTCAGAGGGTAACTTACTACAGATCTTAGTTCATAATCACAGATTTGGTTTCAGATTGTTTGATAGATAGCTGACCAACTAAGGAAGTGTATCCACAATCAACCAGCTTTTATAACTCTCTCCTGTGTGACATCATATGGTATCAAAGAGTTTTTTTTTTTTTTTCACAAAGTTGGAGGCCCGATCTTCCTCAGCATCCAAAAAGAGCAACAAAATAAAGGAAAGAACAGAAAGCTCCTTGCCAAGCAGGTTGGTGTATAGCCAATTAGAATATACCCTGGCAAGACAGCCTGGGAACAGCCAATCAGACTGTCTCTGCATTTTCTACCTGGATGGATAGAAATCCACTTACTTCCAGTGTGCTGAACATGCAATTCAAATACCAACTTCCTTTGAAGAACATATAGGTAAGTCAGGAAATGCCTAAGGAGAAGCTACTAGTAGTGTCCAGATCTCAAACTTACTATCCATGTCTTACTAATATCTGTGTCCAGGAAGTAATGTAGGACATACACCATTCAGCCTGGCTCCTAAGGTTGACCAAGAAAATGGCTCCTCTAACCGATGAGTTTAATGCTACCAAACCTGCCCAGCACCAGACAGAAGTATCCATAGCTGTTGTAACAGAAGATGCTCCCAGGACACATATTCTTGTAATGGACAAGGATCTCAATATTACTCCAGTTCACCTCTGATGCTGTAAGTCTCAAAGGTATGAATAAAGTTAAACTAAGCAGCTAAGTGCATCAGTGTTTCTCAAGCAATGACAAACCTACAGCACACTGCTAGGTTTTCGATGCTAGACTTTCAAGTTCACGTTTTCACTGACTGTCAGTGTAACAGGATATAAAGAGATCTTAAGTGAAAGCAAACAAATGCACACATCACTACACCAGCAGAAGAGAATACTCTACCTATATTGTAAAAAATAAAAGACTTTTCCTAAATGGACCTGTCTTTTATTAGTCCAAGCCAAGAAGGATGGCTCAGCAGGAAAAGGCATTTGCCTCCAATCCTGACATCCTGAATTAAATCCCTAGAGCCATATAGTGGAAGGAGAAAACATACTATTCTCACAAATTGTCCTCTAATTTCCACATATGTATCATGGCATGCCTACACCCACATACACACACACAGACACACAGACACACAGACACACAGACACACACACACACTAAATTAATAAATGTAATAAGGAAGTAAAATGTTAGACCAACTTGCATTCTCTAAAATTAATGATGGTGTTAGGCAATCATATGAGGCTTTGAAATCAGAAAATTCGTAATTAACTTATATTTCTCTCATGTACCAACTATTGGCTTTGAAACTGTTTGCTTTGCTTTCCTAGTTAACCCTGCTTGTCTATCTATAATACCATTATACATCAGTTTAAAAATATGTACTTCATTGCATTTCTGTAAAGATTAATTGAAATAGTATATGTTAAGTGTTAGCAACATACTAGTTATTCAGTAAATGGTAGCAGTTATAGAGAAAATAGAGGCTTTTATAAAGTCTGAATTATATCACAATTATCTTCAACTTAGCCCTTCTTCCCCTTAAAGAAGTGGTTCTCAACCTTCCTAACACTGTGACCCTTTAATACAGTTCCTCATGCTGTGGTGACTCTAACCATAAAATCATTTTCATTGCTACTTCATAACTGTAATTTCTCTACTGTTGTGAATCATAGTGTAAATATTTTGGAGATACGCTTTTGCCAAAGGGGTCGTGACCCGCAGGTTGAGAACCATTGCCTTAAAGCACTAAAAATTCTCGGCTGACTACAGGAGTTGCTCATTTCCTTCTCCAGACGTTTGCAGAATTTTGTTCCTTTTTTTCCACTAAGCATGGAGAATGCTTCAGTGAAACTGCTTAGAAGCATGTAGCTACCTTTACTGGACAGGGGACTCACTGGCAGGAGGGGCCCTTCATTTCCCTTCATATCCTACAAGCTCAGCACTCTGCCTGGCCAGGAAAAACTGCCAAGTGACTGAGGAAGACTGAACATGAAGTCTGGATTCTGATTTGTACTCTCACTTCTCTTGGATAGAAACTTACTGGTGATGTATAATGAGTTTACAGAAGCATACAGACAGGAGAAATTAATTCCTTCACTCAGGAGCAGCCAGTCTGGGAAGATAAAACACAGGTAAAATAACACGAAGCCAGGGATCAGGAATTCCAGAGGAGTGGCTTTGCTATGTGGATTGAAGTGGGGACACTCTAATGTCCAAAATGGCTGCAGACAAAGCACATTAGAAGGACCTGGCCTGTTGCTGATGGAGACCCTGGAACCCTTCTAGGTTCTAATGGGTCAGAAATTGTACACTATTTATCAGTTCTGGGCTAAAATACTTGCACTGCTGCACTAAGGTTTGAATTTGAGATAGGAGCACAAATGTCCAGAAACTCAGTCCGCCTTACCTCCTGACCCATTCCTTGGCTATCACTCTCTGTGCCCTTATAGGGAAGTCATCAGTCTTACCCATATAACTATGATTTCTTAAACTATATGAAAATCTTCTTGAGACATGTTACTTTACTGATCTCAGACCCCACATACACACACACACACCATTCTTAACAATAACTTTTCAGCCACAAAAAAGAATTCAACCTTGCTCATTTGAATAGTTCCCAACTGATAAAAAATATTTGACATTTAAAAAGACACTAACATTTATAATAATGGGTTGAAAGTAGGCCAATTGAGTATATTTTATGTATTTGGTGAGCAACTGTTGTTTTAGACACAGATAGCAAACAATAGAAAAGGAAGTCCTGATCTTGTCCTAAAGGAATAGAGACAACTAGAAGTATCAGATAACAATCTGTTCTACCTATGTGCTGGGGTAAGGATGGCCTAGAGATTGAAGGAGTGGCCAATCAATGACTGGTCTAGCCTAAAAGCCATGTCAGGAAAGTAAGCCCACCCCTGCCACTGCCTGCAGCACCAGAACCCACAGGCTGGATGACACAGAGATCTAGGATAGAGCCGAATAGGACTAGAAGAAAAAAAATGTCATTGAAATGATTCCTAATGATATTCTGTTATATTCATAGATTGATATCTAGCCCAATTGTCATCCAGCAACTGATGGAAACAGAAGCAGGCCCACAGCCAAACATTAGGCAGAGCTCAGGGAATCCTGCAGAGGAGGGGGAGGAAGGTTTGTAGGAACCAGAGGAGTCAAGGACACCACAAGAAAACTCACAGAATCAACTAAGCTGGGCTCATAGGGGTTCTCAAGACTGAACCGATAACTAGGGAGCCTGTGTGGGACTAATCTAGGCACTCTGCATATATGTTACAGTTCTGGAAGTTGCTCCTCTTGTGGGACTCCTAACAATGGGAATGGGCTGTCTCTGACTCTTCTGCTCATTGTTTTGGAACACTACTCCTCATAATGGGTCACCATGCCTAGCCTCAAAACATGGGGAGCGGCCTAGTCTTACTGCAATTTGATATGCCATGTTTGGTTGATATCCATGGGAGGCCTGCCCTTTCCTGAACTGAAACAGAGGAGGAGAAGATTGGGAGCGGGGCAAGGGTGAGGTGGGGTGAGGGGCTGGAAGGAAAGGAAGGAGGGGAAACTGCATTTGGAATACAAAATTAATTAACTAATTAATTAAGAAAATCAGTATGAGCTTTAAAAAGGGAAACAGAGCTACCAATGTGAGAGGAGAGGGGCTTATAATACAGTGGGGGATAGGAGTTAGGTACACCAGTACTTTCCCCAACTGATCTAAAGAACAAGTTAAAAAATGGGGTGGGCATATGGGGAATAGCAGCATCTGAGGCAGAGAGGAATGGTATGTACAAAAGTCAGGACATTAGGATATATGCCAACTTCTGGAAAACAGAAATTTGGAAAAGCTGAAATATAAATGTCTGAGAGAAGTGTCAAGAGATAATGCTAAATATACAGGCAGGTTCATTATAGAGACAAGACATTGAGCTCTGTGTGGGAGGCAATTAAGTCCAGATACTTCAGGACAGTCAAGGTGGGTATCAGGAAGCCAAAAGGACAGAAAAGAATGGAGCTTAGAAGGGAGCTCTGAATGGACACAGAACTTAGGAATATCCACATCTGAATTTTTGTGAATTTTCTTTTACATAATGTAATATTTGTATTAATTCTTTGAGACACTTGTACAATGTATTTGGAACATAGTCACTTCCAGCTCCTCCCCCTTACTCCTCCCAGTTTTACCCCTCACCACTTCCTCCCCTTTCATATCTTTGATTTTGCTGATATACTCCTGAGAGCAGGGCCATCAACCCCATTTCCTGGAGCCTGGTCAACCTATCAGAAGCTACACCCTTAAGGAAAACTGCCTCTCCTTCCCCCAGATGTCATCAACCACCAATAGCTTCTCAGCTAGGGGCAGAAGCTCATGACCCCTCCCTCTCCATGCTGGAATGCTGCCAGGCTTGATTTTGTGTAGGTCTCGCAGCTGCTGTCAGTTCATGAGAGCATCTGTCCTCCCATATTCGGAAGACACCATTTTGCTCTGTTCCTTCCTAGTCTCTGACTGTTGCAATCTCTCCACCTTCTTTTCAGTCCCAAGCCTTACATTTCTTATGAACAAAAGGAACCACTGCATTTTTGATAGTGTTATTTTTCCCAACTGCTTTTACACTTTTTCATCATAATCCTCTGGGCAGAAGAATCTCCACCTTCAGGAGGTCAGCTGTGCTGCTTGCAAAAGATCATCCAACTGTGCTTGTTGAACACTGATGTTCTTCATAGGATGAGAGGGTTAGGAAGGCCATGGGACCCATATCTGAGTATTCAGGTACTACTTCTACCCAGCTGTGTGCAATTCTACCTTAATGCCATAGGATCTTGGAGTGTCAGAGGCTAATGGATATAGGCTAGAAAAGCTTACAGCCACCAGGAAACCATCATTCATGTTACAGAAAGGTTTTCCAGAAAAGCTGCTTTGGGATCACCCCAATTCCTGTCAATAAGCCACACCCATGCTTTGTAAATAAGCCCAACACATTCATTGGTTTCCCAGGGGGACCTTAGTGCAGTTGAACCTTGGTTTTTCACTGGGACCTTAGAAGCAGGAGGTGGTAGACACTGTGTAGTCAGCCCCAGAGAGAAAATTCTTGAAAAAGTAAATGCACATTGTTACAAAATCAGTGATGAGGGGGAAATGCTTCCCCTGCAAAGCATACCCTGTGCATCCTTACCTGTAAAACGGCATGGTAAGCTCGAGTCATATATGCAAGCCAGGCCTGTGGAAGAAAGAGAGCATGGTGCCATTCTGAGGGTTGGACGTGGACCTGTGGAAAAGGTGGAGAGAATCATGTTAGAACATACAGAATTCAAAACAAAACAAAAACCATACCAGATCTTCTTTCCTTTTATTCCAGTGGTTTGTTCTCTAAAACAAACCAAGTTAGTTCAGGATTGGAACCACAAATAATATCTTTTCAATATTCCCAGTTGGACAGAATTTGGAATCTTACAAAGACAAAATAAAGTAAGACTGGAATTTTCTAAATTAAAGCAAATGAAACCCTGCAATAATAACAAGTTAAGATGTATTTGTAATACAAATCCTTCTCTGCATACCAGAGGGAAAGGCTATAAAACCTCTTGCCAAAGACAAGGAGCGGAGTACTGTCTAACAACCCCCCTAGTAATGTTAAATAAAAATAAATATTACTCATAGCCTGGGTTTCAAGTATGACCACTTCTGAAGTAATAAACATAAACTGCCAACAGAAACCACATTGTGTAGAAACCATAGTGGAAAGAGCATGCAGATTCACAGTGTACACACTGTGTACACCGCTGGGCAGCTGCCCTTTCATCGGTGTGGGTGTGCAAGAGAAAAACAATACATGTAAAACAGTGAGATCTACATGTTAACCGTGAGACTGAGCAGAGCCCAGGTGAAGCATCTGGCTTGCATAGTTATTTCTGTTTCTACCTATTAGTACACAGCATTGCAACACATCTTCCCAGAGTCTGTGCCTGTTCAAGATGACTTGAGAGAAACAGCTACAGTGCTTCATAGTTCATGCAGACCTAAACTCAACAACCAACACTTTCATCCACGAGAGAGAGAAGTTTGTATATAATTGTAACAGAGTTTCAGTAACTGGGTGCTTCAGAACAGTTCCCGGTATTTTGAGAATATTTTCAAGTGCCTTTCAATAGGAGAGATAATACAGCTGAACACAGACAGTTATCATGGCCTTTGGGCATGCTTCATTCTCATCCTAGTGAGAGCATACTATGCAAAGTAGTGTGGATGACAAGGACTATCAAGCACTCAACAAGAACCTTGCTTTCTGGCAAGAGAGAGAGAGAAATGTGCATAAACAGACTACAAGGAGGGATTGTGAAGTCTCTATAGGACATGGGACGGGGGAGAACAATGGGATTAATTCTGACTCTTGTCTATCACTTCTGGTGCCACTGCCACGTTTTTTTCAAACGTTAGATATTTAAACAGTATGAGATAGGTACTGAGACCATGAGGTGAACTGGAAAAAATTATAAAGACTTTGTTCTGAGTATTTATGCTGCCAAGTGGGATGGTAAGAGCCTTGTCAGTATGTTCACCAACAGAAGGAATGACTCTTCCAGCCCCTTTATTCTTCGACTATCCAGAAAGCAAACAATAACTGAGGCCACATATCCAGCTGGGAAGGAGGTAGTTTCCATCCCTGTTCTCTGTTCCAAATGCTTTTTCGTTTTTTCTATGAATTATGTTCTCTGGTCACAAAATAAATTATCATTAGTCCCTATTTTGATATCCAGAATAAACAGAAACAACATTCAAATAATGTAACCTGGATTTTTATCTCTTACTTAAGAAATACAAAATTTCAGAATGAATGGAGAATTTTCAAATCCTCCTGCCCATATAACTGTGCTGCTAAGATCTCTGGTCAGCCTAAGCACATTGACAAAAAGAACACTGAATCCTTTGAAAAGACAATAGTTGATTCCGGCCCCCACAGAGTGCAGAGGTGAGCTGCTTTGGCCCCTGCCTTGGGCCCAACTTCTGCCTGCCCAATCTGGGAAATCCCACCCCAGGGTCTGCAGGCAAACTGAATCGGTCCCTGAGGACCCAGGGACCATGACTCTGCTGAGATCACTGGGCTACTCTGCCCCCAGGTAGTTCAGAGTGCAGAGAGTGCAGAGGTGAGCTGCTTTGTCCCCTGACTTGGACCCAACTTCTGCCTGCCCACTCTGAGAACTCCTGCCCAGGGGTCTGAAGGCAGGTCGACTCGGCCCCTGAGGACCAAGCAACCCAGAGTCTGCTGACATCTCTGCCCCAGTCCTGCTCTCGCCCATCTGGAGAGCGAGTGCCTCAGACCTGCCTACACCCACCTTGAGACCCATCAGAGTATCAGAGCCAATTGCACCCACCTGAAGAGAACCCTGGACCCATACACATCAGGAAAGGAAGTGATACCACCTGCACCCACTGGAAGAAGGGATGGGAAGACGACAATATAAGAACACATCCAACAACAGGAAAACCAATATGACACCACCAGAGTCTCTACACCAGAAAGACATGAACATCCCATCACAGAAGCAGAAGAAGAGAGCAACCTTAAAAACAACTTCGTGCAGATGATAGAGACCCTGAGAGAGGAAATCAGAAAATCGTTTAGAGAAATGGAAGAAAAGACGAACCAAAAGATGCAAGAAATCAAGGAAAGCCAAGAAAATACAATTAAACAGCTGAAGGAAACAGTTCAGGACCTGCAAACTGAAATAGAAACAATAAAGAAAACACAAAATGAGGGAATGCTGGAAGTAGAAAAGCCGAGTAAACAATCAGGAACCACAGATGCAAGCATAACCAACAAAATACAAGAGATGAAAGACAGAATCTCAGATGCTGAAGATAAACTAGAGGAAATAAATTCATCAAGCAAAGAAAAATCTTAAGTCCAAAAAGTACTTAACACAAAATATACAGGAACATCTATGCCCCAAATACAAAGGCACTAACATTTGTAAAAGAAACATTATTAAAACTCAAATCACAAATAGACCTCACACAGTTATAGTGGGAGACCTCAACACCCCACTCCTACCACTGGACAGGACTACCAGACAGAAACTTAACAAAGAGACAAAGGAAATAACAGAAGTTATGACCCAACTGGGATTAACAGACATCTATAGAACTTTCTATCCAAACACAAAAGAATATACCTTCTTTTCAGCATCACATGGAACCTTCGCAAAAATCGACCACATATAGCAAACCTCAACAGGTACAAAATAATTGGACTAATACGCTGTATCTTATCAGACCACCATTTTAAAGTTAGAATTCAAAAACAACACAAATTGCAGAAAACCTACTAACTCATGGAAATTGAACAACACGCAATTGCACCATTCCTGGGTCAAGGAAGAAATAAATAAAGAAATTAAAGACTTCCTAGAATTCAATGAAAATGAAGACACAACATACCCAAACTTATGGGACACTTTGAAAGCAGTACTAAGAGGAAAGTTCATAGATCTAAGTGCTCACATGAAGAAACTACACAATACTCACACCATACTCACACCAGATAGTTGACATCACAGCTGAAAGCTGTGAATCAATGTAACAAATAGTTGGTTCTTAGAGCAAATCAACAACAAAGGCAAACCTTTATCCAAACTGACCAAAAGGCAGAGAGAGAACATGCAAATTAACAAAATCAGAAAAGAAAAGGGGGACATAACAACGACACTGAGGAAATCCAGAGAATCTTCAGGTCATACTTTGAAAACCTGTACTCCACAAAATTTGAAAATTTAAAGGAAATGGACAATTTTCTGGACAGATATCACTTACCAAAATTGAATCAAGAACAGATAAGCAACTTAAACAGACCTATAACCTCTAAGAAAAAAGAAGTAGTCATCAAAAATCTCCCAACCAAAAAAAGCCCAGGACCACATGGCTTCAGTGCAGAATTCTACCAGAAATTTAAAGAAGAGCTAATACCAATACTCCTCAAATTGTTCCACACAATAGAAGCAGAAGGTTCATTGCCAAACTCCTTTTACGAGGCTACAATTACATTGGTACCCAAGCCACATAAAGACACAACTAAGAAAGAGAACTACAGACCAATATCCCTCATGAACACAGATGCAAAAATACTCAATAAAATACTGGCACACCGAATCCAAGAACATATCAGAAAAGTCATCCACCATGATCAAGTAGGCTTCATCCCTGGGATGCAGGGTTGGTTCAACATTCAAAAATCTGCTAATGTAATCCACTATATAAACCAACTGAAGAAGAAAAACCACATGATCATCTCACTAGATGCTGAAAAATCCTTTGACAAAATCCAACATCCCTTCATGATAAAGATCCTGGAGAGACCAGGAATAACAGGAACATACCTGAACATAATAATAATAATAATAAAATACAGTAACCCTACAGCCAACATCAAACTAAATGGAGAGACATTCAAAGCTATTCCTCTAAAATCAGAAACAAGACAAGGCTGACCACTCTCTCCATATCTCTTCAATATTGTGTTTGAAGTGCTAGCTAGAGCAATAAGACAACAATGGGAGACCAATGGGCTACAAATTGGAAAGGAAAAAGTCAAACTTTCACTGTTTGCAGATGATATGATAGTTTACATAGGTGACCTGAAAAACTCTACCAGGGAGCTCCTACAGCTGATAAACACATTCAGCAAAGTGGCAGGGTACAAGGTTAACTCAGAAAAAAAAAATCAGCAGCCCTACAGATGATAAGAGGGCTGAGAAATGAATCAGAGAAACATCACCCTTTACCCTTGGGGTAATGGTAACCAAAAAAGTGAAAGACCTGTACAGTAAGAATTTTGAGTCTTTGTAGAAAGAAATTAAAGAAGATACCAGAAAATGGAAGGATCTTCCATGTTCTTGGATAGGTAGTATCAGCATAGTAAAAATGGCAATCTTGCCAAAAGCAATCTACAGATTCAATGCAATCCCCATTAAATCCCAGCACAATTCTTCACAGAACTTGAAAAAACAATTCTCAACTTTATATGGAAAAACAAAAGACCCAGGATAGCCAAAACAAACCTGTACAATAGAAGAACTTCTGGAGGCATCACCATCCCTGATTTCAAGCTCTATTATAGAGCTATAGTCCTGAAAACAGCTTGGTATTGGGACAAAAATGGAGAGGTAGACCAATGGAATCGAGTTGAAAACCCTGATATTAACCCTACACTCCTATGAATGCCTGATTTTTGACAAAGAAGGCAAAGCTTTCTTTGGAAATGGAATAAGAAAA